GTCTCCAACCTTTCTTCATCTGAGAGCTACTTTCAAAAAATGAAAGTGGCCAAGAGCTACTTGCATCACATCGCTTACATTTATTCACATAGCCCTCATCAGTTGAATTAAGCTATACCTTTGTACACGTGTGAAATTGCAATACCTAAAGCTTATCAAAAATAAGGTCCAAGAAAACGAAGATTTCTCACATATTATTATGGCCCACATAATAAGTACATCACTGAACATTCACATAAGTGTCCTTAATCACCACCTTACAAGCATTTCACTCTTTTTTTAGTGAGATGAATGGCACTGCATGCAGTCCACCATAGAGGTGTATGCTGGACCCACTTAGGTTCACTAATAGAGTCATTTAAATGTTCATCAGTCGGTCTTGTTCTGTATTTAGATTTCATTCATGTCAGAAAAAGCTGCTTCACAAAGGTATGTAGAACAGAACCAAATAAAGCAGACATTTTCAGTGCTGCTTGGTGAATGTTCTTATAGTTTTCTGGGTCTACAAGGCTCCAGAAATGTTGTGAGTTTTGCTGAGACTTAAGCTGAACATTATTTTGGAGATCTCCACAGGATTGACACTGAACAGTTGTTCAGCCATCTTTTTCTTCTTCTTCTTCGTCTTGACATTAAATTATAAACCATAATAAATCAATTGTATAGGTCTAGCCTCCGTATATCTGTGTGTGAAAATGGTTCCATTCTCAAAAACAAAAAACTAATACTTCTGCTCTGCAGTCTAGCTGCAGCTTCTAGCTACGGTCTTCTGTTAAAAAAAAGACACTGAATGTCTTGAATGTGGCATCACACACATGACTTGAGTCTGAAAACAGCAGGAGTATTTACAATAGCATTATAAAAACAAAAATAGTGCATGTGGGTGCACACTTACATTATCTGTCTTACTGTTACATAAATCCCATGAATGTATGAGATTAAGTTAGCTTCATCATATCTCAATCAGTGATTAAGTGAATAATAAAGTTTCTATCGGGTCACTATCAGCCTGTCACTCATTATTTTCAGGGAGGGGGCGGGGTTTGGAGGAACGGAGAGGAGACGGTGATCGCGGAAGCTTTCCTCCTGCCTTCACAAACTTTACACAAGTATTTATCAACTGAAAATAGCAAGAGGACATTCATACTCTGCAATCCAAGACTTGATTAAATCCACCAAAAACCTGACATGACGATAACGAGTGTTTTTCAAAAAACACAAATCCCTCCCTGTGTGTCTCTGAGGCGCAGCGACAGGGCCTGATTCAGAGCGGGTCATTCTGCTGTTGGTTCTGGACTGGTGTTGGTGGAGAAAGCAGACTGCTCCGTGTGTGATGTCGCTGTGCTGCTGTCACGTCTGTTCCTTGATCTCTGCGTCACCGACCATTTGATATTCATGTGACAGAAACAATTCTAAAATAAAAAAACGTTATGGTCCAGCCGCGGCCGAAAAATCAATAAGCAACCTTACTACGCTATAATCGATAATCGAGCGGCGAGCTACTGAAAAGCTGCCCGCGAGCTACCGGTAGCTCGCGATCGACGTGTTGGAGAGCCCTGATCTAGGGCCTAGATGAATTAAAGGTCTGTTTTTTGCTAACTTAAAGCACAAAATAACAAAATATATTCAATTAAAACAATGTAAAACTGAGAAAAGCATAAAATCGTACTATATTACTATACGTTATAGTATATTATGTCTAAATAACTGATATGCACCAAATTGGACAATTAATAACAGCCAAATGAAAGGGAGGTTCGGCCGGCAAACCATATTATACACCTAACTAATGAGCACAGGTCTGTAACCATAAACCTAAAAAAAGTCTAAAGAAACAACAAAGTCAAAAAAATGAAACTTTACTGGTCCATTCAAGGTAGAGTACAGTAACGTTAGCCTAGGTTCAGTTGTTTGGCAAGCAAGACAAGGTAGTCTTAATAAAAGCCTTATATGTATGCCACTGGGAACGAAAAAAGTAGTTCAAAGATAGATTAAGAAGCTAAATGTAGCTTAATCCTGTGCCTTTATTTATCGTGCGTTAGATTGGAGTTACTCCACATTCGCTCCATGTGACTGTGGCAAAGAGTTTGGTGGCACTAGGTCACTCTTCCTTCAATTGCTCCAAGTTAGGAAAAGGAAAACTACGACCCAGTTCTGCTGCTGAAAAGATTCACTAACTTTTCAGTTCTTGCTTTTTAACGCCAGCCAGGACGAACGGTAAACCAACCGCATCCCATACTTTCTTTTAGCTCCTGAAATAATCCCCAAAACACAATATCACTCACGTTGACTTGTTCCAGGGGACGTCCCGGGGGTGAGGGTTGACTTTACCGGCGGGAGAAGCTGTGTACAGTCGGGGAATAATCCGTTATTTTAGTTGTTGAGCTTTGGGTAGTTACAGTTAGTGGGTTTTTTCGCTCCTGCCTATCTCCCCCTTCTCCCTCTCCCGTCGCCTGTTCCTGCTTCCTCTCCACATCCAGCATTCCAATATGGCCGCCGCAGAGAGAGAGGGAGAGAGAGCAAACTACTCCCTCTGAGGAAAGCCTTGCCTCAGGCACACAAAACTGCAACCTAAGAATGAATGAATGTGTTCATACTACACATGTAATAATTAATACTATGAATAAATATTTAAACGAAATGTTAATAAGATCCTTTATACTTAAAAGAAAAAAAGTTCAATGGAAAATTAGATACTTTTAGCTTCTTTGATATTAAGTCAATGTTGTTATGAAACCATATAGTAGGCCTACATTTTGGATGGATAACAACAATGAATATACATTATTTTTTACACTACACTACAGTATATTTATATGTATACTGTTGACTGGACTGAAGACTGAATTCAAATAAATAAAGGAACCTGTCAGACCAAATACTGAAATATACCATGACAGGTATATTTTGTTGAGTGTGTTATTTTATCACACTCTTCACTGAATCAGTTGTATCCCCTATTTGATGTTTTGTTGTGCCTCGTTCTTTTGAAGCAATGTTTTTTTTCCAATAAGAAATTGGCTTTGCAATATATTTTTGGTTTGAAGGAAACTGACATTCAGATTATTTCATAATGAAAATATATATATCTTTTAAATTATTATTATCTTGGGACAATATTCATCAAGAAACCCAACAGCTTTGAGTTTTTAAGAATTTAGAATACTTAGTTAGGTAGCCCTATTTTTTTATGCATTTTTAGACAATTTAATATGTGTAGAATTAGTAGCATTATACTATCCACTATTAAAGTTAAACATCAGTAATTAGTAAAAGTTGCTTGAAAGTAAACATTACAAAACGTCATATATTCAAACTTAAAAGTATATATATATAAATTAGAATCAATATAAACTCACAGTACCAAAATAACTCATTATGTGGATGGCCCATTACATAATAATGTTTTTTTAACGTTGGATTATAAGTATTGATGTACTTGTGTGTATAACAATGTGTGACTGTAGCTGGTAAGGCTTGAATGCATTTTAATGACTTGTGAATTCCCCCCAGGGATTAATGAATTATGTATCAGATCTTGGCCCTAGGCCCTAGGTTGATTAGATCTGCTACTATGCTTCTCCCCTTCATGCACAGGTTCAAAGATGCCATCTGGTGGTCACTACTTGTTATTGCAGTATATTTTGGGTTTACATATTGCCCCGAGGGTATGGGTTCAACTTCTACTACACTTTACAATAGCAATATTTCCATTTTTTCCCATGGTGCATAGACTCTGGGTTATATCAGTGCATATTTTCATTCTGTGAACATTTCCAAACGATGCATATAACATTACATTACATGTAACTTACTTTTATCCAAAGCGACTTACATACTCAATACTGTGGGCAATCCCCACAGGAGCAATTTGGGGTGAAGTGTCTTGCCCAGGGACACAACGACATGCTGACTGCAGTGGGGTTTGAACCATAGACTGTATAAGGTTTGAACCTGTGCTCCCCTAATACGAACACCAACGCACTAGTCCACTGCGCCATAGCCTCCTATAAATTATTACTCCTGTCCTGAGGTCACTCAGTGATGGGGAATATCTGACAACACACATGCCCATACAAGCTGTATGCTCGTGTGAACACCACAGAGTATCCTAACTTGGAAAGCAGAACTAATGGAGAATTATCATAACGGTCAAACGGGTCCCCTTGTTTGAATGTCATCTTCATGTTGTTCCTCAGATATTTTCCCATCCTTTTTAGAGCACCATACTCTCAAAACTGAGTGCCGTGACCCGGTTTCGAACCGGGGTTGCTGCGGCCAAAACGCAGAGTAATAAACGGCTGTCCGACTCGTCTGGTGAAAACACACCCGACCCAACATAGAAGTTTGGGGTTCAGTTCAACAACATGTTCTGAGTTACTTGGTAAAGATAATTAATTATTATGCCACATACTTGCAATACATATCGTCATTATGGTTGATCCTATCCAGGTTCTGTTTTTGAACCGGTGCATTAGAAAGAGAGGTGTTGCTGTAATTTAATGTTAATTCAACATCACAGTCTGCATAACCAAGAATCAATGCCTCTCTAAAACTGTTTTAACAAATACTAAACAATGTCATGCAGGTGCTTTAAAAGAGGACTGTTGAATTAGACTATTTGCTTTAACTAGAAAACACATAGTGTACCCAATAAACTGGCAAATGTACAGCAGCATTGGCCTCTCAATCCTAATGGTGATAGAAAAAACAGTAGGCTATTTACACTTTTTTGAATGTTTAATCTTCCTTTGCACAATAAAAACATTTGAAACCATACATTTGTGTAACACAACACATTCAATGTATACGTTTTTTTTATTTATTAAAGCATACTGAAGCAAGAATGTGTGTATTTGTATAGGATTACACTTATACTAAAACAGTAGATGGCGCCGTGGTACTCTTTACCCAGCTCCTGGAAGTACAAGGGAAAAAAAGCTTTTATTTTGAAAGTTGCGTGGCGCTGCCTTTAGTTTGACAGAACAGAGCACACTGTGTGAGCGAGCGAGGGTTGAATCACTGCATACTGTATGAGTTAGACACAGTTTTGAACTCAGTACTGTAGCGTTTAGAAGATTTAAACAGATGAATGACAACGAGCTGGGCTAACTAACATCTCGTCAGTGTGACTTATCGGTGTGCCGGTGGAAATGGTCGTTATTTAAGGTCAGTTTTTGCTGTAAACGTTGCTGTGTTAACATATCTTGCTCGACTGGTCTAAACAAGTCCGTTTCATGTCACTTTAGAGACTTAAAAATAATTGCACCTTAATGTCAGCTGATGGGATAACATGCTAATGTCCTGAGTTTTAACATTACCGCTGAATGCAGAAGTTGTATTTATCTACAATTAACGTAAACACAACTAAATGCGGTACGAAAACAGCTACAAGTTCTCGTTAAAACTGTGTTGCGTTAAAATACCTGAACCGATATCCAATTTATTTATACTTTAAGCCCTTAAATGATTAATCCAGGTGTAGTGTCACGTCTCATCATAACCACATTTTAGTTGCCTACTTTTCCACCCGCCTGCCAAAACAAAAAAATTAGTCACTAATCAATACGAGGGAGATTACATGTTGAGTCAGCATTAATATAAAAGGCAGTTTTTTGCACAGGGACGGATACAAATGTCTGTGTAAGACTTTGCAGTACCTTGCCTGCATTTGTATTTGTATTTGTCTCTGTGTAGTGTGTGCATCAAACACCAAGGCACATTTTTGTTTGTTTTGTCATCTGTTCTGGGTCAAGGATAATAGCTCTAGTTTTCTCAAAAACCTTGTAAATGTTGGCTGGTGCCTATTAAAGGGACATGTCACCCATTTTAAGAGCTCACCCTCTTCATGGGTCCCAGAAGTGCTCAGTAAACTCTTGCAAACTGCTCTGTTTGTGATCTCCCTGGGATGTAAAGTAAGGGGCTGCTTTATTGCACTTTACATTCAGAGGACTTTGCAGCCCTGAGGTGCAACATAGAAAAGTAATAGTGTTGCTTACATTGGCATTGGCAGACCTGTCTTGGGTAACAGGAATCTAAAGTTACTTCCATATTTGTAGGTGTGTCACCTCAACCACTTCCATTTGAAAGCAGCCTTCTTCCATAGGTCTGTTCAGATCTAAAACACCTGCTTACCAGCAACTGCTTGGTGAAATAGTTGGGAGCTACCTGAAAGCATCTTACCCTCGGTATATGAATACAGACTTGTTGGTTAAAGCACCTTGAGAGCCTCTGAATGTCTGCAGGAGACTACATCCTCAAAGATACACTCCCCACCAGTCTCAAAAATATTTAGTTTGGTGTGTTGTTTATTTAGTTATTCAACTCGGTGATGTTCTTCTAATGGAGTTTTTGTAAACGATGTGGAATGAAGAAATGAATCAAGTTTTTATTTTGATTCAGAAACACAATATGAACTTCTAAATTATTGTTGTTTTCCTCTTTCAGTCTCAGTCTCAAATGACATCTGCATTTTATTAAGTGTTGCAAGAGACAGTTCATTGCGGGAGAGGTTATATAATTGCTATAATGGTGGACATCGGTAGAGTTTACGAGAAGTGTTGACGTACACACATTTTCACAAAATTAGGGGTTTTCGGGAAATAAATGACTTTAGTTTGTGTGTGTGTTTCCGTAACACAGCAGGGTAGTTAGTCAGAGGCCGTAATGGCCTGAAGACTAAGAGAAGAAAACAAACCAGTGTGTCAAAGGGTACAAAATTGTAAAACAGACAAGAAGACAAAAAAAGAGAATGAAAGTGTGTGTTTTAAGTACATTAAAGAGGAAAATAGGTGCGATCGGAGGGGGGAAGATAAAAGAGAGAATGAGAGTTTACAGACAGAGAGAGGAAGGATGAGAAAAAGTTTGATTTAAAAGAGATTACTTGGGCTTTGCCTTTAGCTGCAACTAATGCAAGTCAGATGTTTATTCTGGGATCTGCCTGACCCAGATTCATAGATAGGTAGTAGGTATAGGGACTCCAAGCCTTGCTCTGTGTTGATAATGACCAAGGGTTTACCTGGACGTAAGAATCACTAATCATATATATATTCTTCAAATCTGATTTGGTAAAAAAATGATGTGGTGTAATGTAGGTTTTCGGAGGAGAATAAACACAAAGAGCTAATGTGCTTTTTAAATCTCTGAGATCTAAAAGTAATGGATACATGGCTAATCGAACAACTTCTGTCAAGTTGTATGAATGCTAACTCGAACACATCTCTCAGTTATACAATAATATACTAATCAAGACGTGAATGTGTTTGCCAAGTAGAGCAACCTTAGTTTTTTTCCTTTTTGCTTCTTTGCGGTTCATTTCGTTTTAGGAACTTAGTTTTCACATCTGATTCTGATGACATAACTGGTTTACTACACCACTGACCACACTCAAACATCTGTGTGTGTGTCAGTGTGAGCTAGATGTTTATTGTCTATGTGTCTGAGTGTGTGTGTCAGCAATGTTTGGAGGAAGTTGCTGGGAAAGAGACTTGTCTGTGTGAGTGTGTATGTGAGAAGAGTAATGTAAGATTCTGCTGGTTTTTATTAGGCTGATGCTATATTTACTAATAAGATTGCTCAACCTCTTATTCTCTGATTTAGTAAACCTTAATTCCCAAGAGAGCGGCGTCTGGTTTGGGAATATTTTGTGAGTCATGGCTAAAAGTTGAAGTCTTTGAACCATCACTACAGCTCCTCTTGCCATTGTCGTCATTGAGGATTACACATTTTTACAAGTGGTTCTTTGTAATTATAGCGAGGACGGATGAGGAATATAAAATGTCCATTCACAGTATGTGTACTTTGATTGAAATACAGTATTTCAGGATATAGTAAATTAAGTGGAAATACATTTAACAACCACTTTACAAGTCAAACATTTCTTTTTTTATTGTCAATCAAATACCTGAATAAACAAGTAACTCAACTTTATTTCTTAGACTTGTAACATTACCTGCAACCATATAACATCTCCAGAGATTTTCACACAATATCTACCTCAGTATAAATTATATAACTCTTATGTGGTGATGCCGTCTCTCTTCTAAATGCACTTTGTGTTTGTGTGTTTCCGGTAGTGTGTGTGATGGCAGAGCTCCCGTCTGGACTGTTGGAGGCATGTGTAGTGGTTGGTGCACCCAGTGATAAGCTCCGAGACATATACCAGGTACAGTATACACGCCCATACACAAATATAGAAAAGTATGCAAACAAACAGAAGTCAGTGTCGGCAGCATTTACACTTTGTATGCTTTCTATATCAACATAAACAGTGGAGCCTTCTACTATCAGATTACTAATAAATGGACTCTTTGCATCTGGACAGTTAATATCCACAGCAGGAACACTTGTGTTAATGATAGGTGTCATGTTATCCAACACATAACAAACATACCTTGATATTTAATGTGTACAAGATATGAAGGTTTCATTTATACAACAAACACTTGGCTAATTCTATGTTAATTAAAGTATAGTATTGCCACTGTTAATTCTTCACAGCTTCATATTCAAAGAAACTTCAACATTTTATCCAATACTGAATCAAGGGTTAAAGTAGGATAATATTAATAAATATTTCCACTCCGTGTTGCAGCTTCAACAGCAGAGTAATTTGAGCGAGCTTCCCCTGCTGGAAGCTGAGGTCCTGCAGGTCCATGCCCCTCCATTTGTTTCCAAGGATACCAACCCCAGCCAGTTGATTGGACCAGCTTTCAGTCGTGTCCAGAGGAGGAGGAGCTTTATAAAGAAGGTAACATTTGTATTATATTTGAAACTTGAAAATAAAAATGTACTATAATTGTTTGTCAGGCATTTCAGATCCCTCTTAGCATGATTCTTTGTTTATCACTCCAGAAATAAAATCCACATTTGTGGTTTTTCTGTTGGTTTGCAGAAGAAGCGAGACCGTGCTCCAGAGGTGTTGCCTAATGGAGAAACGACCAATCATTCAGAAGCGTCCTCTGGAACAGAAGATATCAGTGTACCTAAAGATCTGGACCTCATCGCCTTGCCGCAGCTCTGTTTCCCTGGTATAGTTTTCTCTCTGACAAACTTAACATAACCATGCTTTAAACTGAGTATAACTGTAAATGCTGTAAATACAAAACAGTTTTTTCCCTGGTCAAGACCAACACGTTTTTACTTTTAGTATGCTTTGCTTATCATTTTGGGTTGTAATCTTGCTATGCTGCCTCAATAGCTACGGTCATGGATCCATATATTGCTAAAAATCCACAATGTAGATTATGTATCAAAACACACTCTGATGTAAACCTTGCTTACTAAGCCCTATCGACCATGACAAACATCGTTGTAGCCTCTTGGGTGTTGACGTCTTGCTTTCCATTGGACAGGTGGTCTTCAGTTAACCAATGAGCCAAGAGAAGACAGTTATCACTTCCTGGTTTTTACTGACCTGTTTGGGAACCGAACCCATGGAGTTGTCGTTCAGTATTATAGAGCTGTACAGGTAAAAACAAACACACACACACATACAAACAATCACAAACATGTTAAATGCAGTGAATTTCTCATTGTCTCTCATTGGCTGTCCACTCTCTCAGTCCTGTCAGGAAGGGTCTGTCCATAATGGCCACCGGTGGAATTCATCAAAGTCCCGCCTCTACACACCCTTTGCCGTGTGTATCATCTCCAAGTCCCCCTACTACAATGCCCTGAAAGACTGCTTGTCATGGTAATAATCTCTTTTGAATACATAGAATTGATGGATAACCTTCTCTTGTTGTGATTTTGTAAAATCCTTCTTTGTCTCCACCCTCTCAGTCTCCTGGTCCAGTTGCGGCCTGCAAGACAAGCTGACTTTGAGGAGACCATTAAGGAATTTTCCGCCAAGCTGTCTCTAGTCCCTTTACCTCCTCCTGGACAGCTCCATGTGGTCAGAAATACTTTTTTCTCTGTCTCTTATAAAAATGTATCTCTGTTTGTCTCGTACCCTCACCTTATCTGTATTTGCCTTACTGTGTGACCAATTTCAATTTCTAGATCTTTACAGTAAAATCTGTGTGCATTTCTGTGTATTAGTCCTTCAGCCTCCGTCCGCTCCATGTGTTTCTTCCATCAAAAGAGGATCAGGACAGCCCTCTTATCGACATCGACCTGCATCTTCCTTTGCTCTGTTTCACGCACACAACACTACTCCAGGTAATGCACAGAGACTGCTCTTTCATAACATATTAACCCAAGATGAAATCATATAATGAAGTATGTGTATTGATTTATATATTGTTCGACTGTTTATGCTGTTTATGATATTTTAAGCCCAGGTGCAATGCCTAATTAACATGGTGCTGTAACATAACAATGTACACATTTGGAATCAATAAGAGTATATTTAATCTATTCTAATTGATTCATACAAAGGTACATTACTTTGTTTATGTGACGTTTTTTGAGGCGGAGTTTTGGTCAATTTGCTTCAATTTGCTTCAATTTGCTTCTTGTTAAAACTAGTGTCAATTTGATTAACGAAAAAACTAAGCAAAATTGTGATGAGAAAATGAACACTATTTGGAGGTAATGTGAAGCATGTAATCCTATACATACATCCTAAATATACAAAATAAGATATTATTCAGTTAACCCTATAAGGCCTGTCTCTCTCTAGGTGCTGTCCTACCTCCTCCAGGAGCAGAGGCTGGTCTTCTTCTCTGCTGACTGGGCCAGACTCACTCTGTTCGCAGAGAGCTTGCTGCTTTACCTGCAGGTCAGTGGAGGAGGAACATTGCGTCATACAATCTGAGTCATTTGTGTTTGCTTAGATAGACATTCTAAAACTTCCTGCAGCATCCCCTTACAGTATCCTTCTTCTCCATCTGTCTTCTCTGACCTCTCTCTCAGCCTCTGTCCTGGCAGCAGCCCTATGTTCCCGTTTTGGCAGGAGGAATGCTGGACTTCCTCATGGCTCCTACAGCCTTCCTGATGGGCTGTCACATCAGTCATTTTGAAGAGGTCGCTGCAGTGAGTACAACCATTCTCTGAATACAGACCTTTCTTTTAAATCAAGGATAACAGTCTTGGCTTTTGCGGTTTAAAACAAGTCATCTCGGGAAATCTGGCAAATCAGACTTTTCTTTCCCAAGATGACACGAGCCGTGTTGGCTGTTCAGTGATTTTGGCCAACGTTAATGTCAAATTATTATTCAAACCGTTATTATTCCCTATATCAGGGAAGACATATTGGGATTTTAATTTAGGCTTGTGTTCTTTAATTAAATGTACATTTGTACATGTTATAGAACTAGGGGAACCATCCATAACAAAATAAATAATCAAGCCTGATCCTATCTTCACCATATACCAGAGATTGCAAGGCTCTTGGTAATAAATAATGATTCATATTTTAAATCAAATTACCAAAGATCTGCAATTGTTTAGTTTGAGCTCAGATACACTATTTAACAACAACCTCTCCACTGCATTCATCTTCATTCAGTGTCTTACAGAGGCTCAGTTCACATTTAACAGTAGCTTTCTGTTAGTCTGCCATAGCAAGGAACAGTTAGTCTATTGTAATGAATTGTACCCATTGTACCTATGTGTGTGTGTTTATGTTTGTGTATAGGAGACAGAAGAGCTAATTCTGGTGAATGTCGATGATGGCATCATTCAGTCGTCATGGGCTGAAAACATTGACCTACCAGCTATCCCTCTAGCTGCAGCTGAGAGCTTTATGGCAAGGTAACACACACACACACACACGCACACGCACACGCACACGCACACGCACACGCACACGCACACACACACAAACACCTTATCTAATGTACTTACCCTAACCCTATTTGTTACCTTCCTAATTGTGTCCCTGAACTTCAATCAAGTCTTTACCGTTAAATGTAATGATTCAATGTTTCTTCTTCCATTCCACTTTTGGCAATGGAACCAGCAGAGCCACGGCTAGTATCAAAGCTAGAACAGATTTAGAACAATAATCAAATCTGCCTAAATACCTGCTAAATCAAATTACAAAAGGTAACAGAGTTTAAATGACTGAATAAAACAAATGTCCGTTAATGAGCATCTAATCTTTGAATACTTGGTGTCTGTGTGTTCAGGGCAGAGTGTCTCCAGCTTCACTACGATTTGGAGCTGTGTCACCTTGGAGCGGGCACTGATGTCAACGCTCTGAGATCCCAACGCAGAGAATGGCAGACTCGCCTCAACACACAGATACAAAACATTGCTCTGGAACTAGTGGTCAACATCTTCAGGTAACGCTTGTGTGTGTGATTCCTTTAACAAATAATTGTGATTCTAGGGAATGAAGTGGCCAATAGTAAATATAGGTTTACAGTAATTTGAGTTGTTATAAACAATTTCTCCCCTTTGTATGTTTTTGTCCTACTTTGTTAGAGACGTCCAGGACTTTCTAAACCATGAGCACAGAGTTTTTAACAGTGAAGAGTTTCTGAGGACGAGGGAGCCAGCAGACCTGATTTTTTACAAGAAGGTACACCTGCACACTTATACACACATGTATACACACTAGCACACACAAACACATACTCTGACAATCTGTGCTGAGTGTGTGTCTTTATTGCTGTCCCCAGGTTTTAGAAACTCATATCTTCCACACATTCCTGCGAGACAGGCTGAACAGGAAACCAGACACCTTCAGCCGCATGGAGCAGAACACGCGTAACCGATCAGCCAGGTATGATGCTGGTGTGATGTCATTACTAAGGGACTGATAACCATGCAACACAGAGGAGCCCAATTGTTCCAGGCCTTTCCCTCAATGTTTTCCCAATTAAAATTGTTTTTTTAATCTGGGTTAAGCGAATAAAGAACATTTTGATCGTGCATTGACAGTAGCCCGAAAGGGGATATTTTCTCGGAAAAGTCAGTGGCCTGCAGTGTTTTTAACTCGTCTGGTATAGCTAGCGTGGAACTTTTACAGAGGTGGTAACAAACAAAGTGCCGGGTGCTATCCATATTTTGTGCAATAGGAAGACCAAGATACGAAACGAGATGAGTAAAGCCACGCTGTACCATGAAATCTAAGACAGTGATGTAGCGATTAATTTAAATAGATAATGTAAAAATATAAAATACATTTTATTTAGTTTATTGGACACAACCCATACATTACAATTATATACCCTCTATGTAATGATATTGAAACTGCCTTTAGCTATGTGATGTCTCGATCACAATCTCAACCCCAACATCTGTGTCCTCTTTCTTCAGGAATCGTGCGATGACAGAGTCTCCTCGGCGTCCTCTCATGTCCGATCTGTCGAGGACGGGCTACAGCAGCTACGCCAGCCCTAGTGACCGACTGAGCAAGAGGCTGGGGGCCAGCCTGCCTAACCTGCAGCAACCTGCCAACGACACGGGGACCTCCATCAGCTCCACCAGACCAGCCTCCCTCAGGAAGATGTCTCCTGATGTTGGTCAGTACTGATGGAAGAGAGGGATTCATTGAGAGTGGAAATCAATTAAGAGTCAACTTATTTCACATTTTCTTTGTCTCCTTTCAGGTTTGAAGTCTCCTCAGAAAGTGGTGAAGGTTTTCCGCCTTCCCGAGTTCCCCCCTCCGCTGGCCTATCATTACGTCCAGAACTATTATTCTGACATGGTGTCCTCCCTGGGGAAGGCTATTAACGCTACACTGCCTGAGGAGGCTGCTCTGCTGGCAAGGTACTGAGAGGAGACAAAACTCATAGAGAGTAAAGAAAGGGTTTTTGCTCATTTTATTTTGAAGCTGTACAAATATTTAATATCTGTATGATCTTTAGCCTTTAAAGTGTTTCTTTCACTGGGAAATGCTGACTTGGTCTATTAGTATGTCTGGCACCACATCTGTGTGTGACACGCAATTTTAAGTATTACTTCCTGAATAATGAATAGAAGGCATTGACTAAACACAATCTTTTACATTTTAAACAAGAAAATAAAAATGCTGTAAAATTATTTTACAGGCTCTCTTGGATAACAAATAGTATGTTAGTTATCTTCACCACAAGTTATGACACTTTTTGAAAACATTCATACCCTGAGGAGTAGTGGTTCCATTTTGTGTGAAGGACTGAGAGTTGCACAGGGCAACATTAAAATGCTTTTTTGAGTAATCAACCCAGATCAAGTAAATGACTGACTTCTAGACAAGTTAATAATTTCTCTGTCTTTTAGGTACCACTACCTGCGGGGTTTGGTAAACACGGTGTCCAACAGACGTCTGGATGCACTGGAGGACTTTCAGAGTCTGTATAAGACAGACTCAGATATCTTCCCTTCTCAGATGGTGAAGTCAGTGGTTGACTCGCTCCCAGAAGCTGAACGGCTACAGGTCAGTCTGTCATGAATGAAGACAGTGTTGTAGTCTCCTTGCTGTAAATACTGTTATCTGGATTCACGTCAGTTAACTGCATCAAGAGCACCTGATTTATATTCTGTATGGTAGTCACGTTGAATTTAAGCAATCATGAGATCTATGAGATTTTTGAATGAAGTTTTAAATGTAATTTATCGAGCTGTTAGATTGCTCTTAGACCACCCCTTTAATACAGGTGCATGCTTTCATTTGTGTGCAGCAAAAAGAGTTTGTAGACTGCAGTGAAAATGTTAGTAAGGCTAAATGCTACCACATATGGATTGAAGCGGAATATTCAACATTTTGTGGATAAAAAAAAATGGACTAATCTCTCCGCAGGCGGACAGACGACCAGAGCTGAAACGGCTCATCAGTCGGCTCAAGAGGGACCAGGAGAGGGAACGTGCGTTCAACGGCAACGGTCAAGAGCACGATTCCATAAAGCGTTTCCAGCTGCCGAAAAAATACATGCATCTGGAGGAGTTTGTTAAATGTGTCCAGGAGTCTGGTATTGTAAAAGACCAAGGAACCATACATAGACTCTTTGACGCTCTAACTGTAGGTGAGTCGTGTGCATAGGCATACATGCATCTGTCAGTTTATATAGTCAATACAGTAAAATCTATATCATATACTGTAAATGTACATATGTTAGAGCAGCTCAGGCCGTTTTCTGTTCATTTGGTCAAACAGGCCGTCTTGAAGAATTGTTTTCACAACCTCCGAGATGGTGCCTGAGCACGCACACGCACACGCACACACGCACACGCACACACACACATACTGAAGCACAAAGATATCCCACTATCTCCTTCTCCCTTTTCCAGGCAAACATTTATTCCTCAGGTTAATCATTACCTCACCCCTTCTTGAGGTTAGACAGTTTGTCTTGCAGGGCTTGTTTGGTGGTCACTTAATTTTACTTTGCTTCACAAAGCTGTGGGCTATCAGCAATTTTTACTTAGTTAGCGAGCACACCTGAACACCACAGTTTGTATATTATAAGCATTACGAGCAGCCAGTAACAACTAGTGCCAGCCAGCGTGAGAGCCGCTGTGACCTGAAAACATTCCTGTGATCTGAGATTGGTCACCATGTAAACGAAAAGGCAAGATATTTGAGTCATAAGAGCTGTGGTCTCAGTACTTAGTTTTCAATTTAAGGTAAAAGCCAGAGTAGGAATAGTGTTTGGAAATGGACACATCAAAAAAGTCGAGGTTACAGCCAAATCAAATTATTGTTAAGGAAGAAAAGTTATTGTGGGGGCTTATCTTGCCTTCCACATTATGTTATTGGAAAAATGTATGACAGGACGTTGGGTTTAATTAGCAAACATCGAGTTTTCCTTTCCTCTTCTGACCTGCACTGGAGGAAGAGATACAGAGTGTGTGTGTTGGATGCCAAGTTAGCAGCAACATCCAACTGCAGACTACTTGACTCAACACAGCACTTAATTAGAGTTACTCATTGTGGTGGAATATTTAGATAGAGATAAGAAGTAGAAGTAGTAGTTGGTCATTGTCCTGCTGTGATTATGAAACTGAATTTTGAGCTTAACATTTTGCAATTTGCTAAACTTTACTATTGCTCAGTGGGCTGCACTGTGTGGGACGTTGGTTGTGTGCTATGGAGTGCAAAGACTGTATGTAGTCATTGTTTTCATACAGTCAGCACGGCAACCCCCAACTTCTTACTGTGCAGGAATGCTGGAAGATAAGATTGCAAGGAGAAAGAGTTGTTCAACTACCAGATGTCTGTGTGGAGAGACTATAAACCAGAGCACTTCTTTTGTTAAAACTTTAATATTAATTTAATTTATGCTGGCCTACAGCCAGAATGTGGTAGATGTATTATCACTTGTTTACAATCAGAAATGTATGGTTACAAGTGTTACAAGAATGGCATATACATATCCAGGATCTTACATTTTATATATACTGTATGTTATTCTATATGTGCAGTATTTCCCACTGTTCAAAATTATCCATATATTCACTTACAGAAACAAATGTTTTGTCACTCTAAGCTGAAAAGTAATTTTTTCGGTAATTAGAATTTATCTTATAATTTCTTCAATTAATCTTGAATAGGGAATGAAATGTTGTACCAATTTCTTATTAGGGATTTCTCACCTGTGACCAATATTATCATGGTTCAATATCTATTTGTATAAGTGATAATCATTTATATTTCCAAGGTACATATTATGCATTTCTTGGGTATTGCATATCTAGGAATACCTTTTAATTGTAACATGCATACTTTCCCAAAATGAATATATGTTATTCACCAAAAATAGTTGTGGTTTGCCTCTTTATTCCTTTTATTCGTGTGCAAAGGTATACTCTTATTTTAAGGTGTTACATTTTTTCTACCCACACTTCCTCCCTGAAGCTGAGCTGTCTATAAATGCTCAGTCAACTATTTCAGGGTACATTTCTTATTATATTTTTTAATTATTGTCATCTGTGTGTTAATTTGTTCCAGGTCATCAGAAGCAGGTTGGGCCAGAGTTGTTCAGAGTCTTCTACACCATCTGGAAGGAGACGGAGGCAGAAGCACAGGAGGTCTGTATGTAGGATTTACCTGGAACATATAACAAAAAAACCCACATTTTAAATATGCTGCATGTGTGTGTCAGCTGAAACTTTGAGTTTATTTTACCATAAAACAGTAAGCTGCACATTTTTGCGAACAAAGTCCACTAATTATATCCAAAGTGGTCTCTGGTGTTCCACATTGCAATATGTTAGCTGAACTGTAAATCAGCTCTTTTTATGTGATATTTCAGGTGTGTTTGCCAGCGTCAGTTTCTGAGCACATCGAGCCCAGCGAGTGTGTTTTCAAGCTTTCCTCCTCTGTGAAGACGAGCCGCGGGGTGGGAAAGATTGCCATGACTCAGAGACGGCTTTTCCTGCTGACCGACGGACGACCAGGATACGTGGAGGTGGCACAGTACCGGGATTTAGAGGTGAGACAAAATGAAGGACAAAGGTCAATCTGAGTGAATTATTTACATATGAGATTAAAATGAGCAGGACATAGACAGTAAAAACAAGGGCTTTCCTTAATGAATGTGGGACACTTCATATTTTTACTCTGTCTTCCTCTCTTCTCCTACAGGAGGTGAAAGTGTCCTCGGCTCCCTTCCTGCTCCTGCGTATCCCCAGCCTGAAGCTGCGAGTTCAGGGCAGGAAGGAGACATTTGAGGCTAATTTGAAAACGGAGACAGAGCTGTGGAACCTGATGGTCAAAGAGATGTGGGCCGGACGCAACATGGCTGACCAACACAAGGTTAGGCTTGAAATGAAGGATGTGTGAGAGTTTAAGTGTGCCAGCCAGTATGAGGGTATACTGTTCATGGGGGAAAAGGGATCAGATGAGGGAGTCACAAATTAATGAATAATAATTTGGTGAGTTATCATGTGCCATTATTACCCATACCTTATCTCGGTGTGTGAATGTGTGTGTACTGTATGTGGTTGTGCATGCCAGTAATTGTGAGCTTCAGTGACCTGGTAGGTGTGGTTAGAATTCCCTGAGGCGTTCATGAACATAAATACTCACAGTTGAACAAATAGGGTTTCCTTCATGAAACCAGATGATGTAACTGTAACATCTTCGTCTCTCACCCCTCTCCTTTCGCTCTCAAGTTTACTCTCGTAAATCACTTTTAGATTTCCTGTTCTGCTATATATTATGAATGTGAACTGACATCCGGCTTGTCTGACAGGGCGGATTGGCAGTAGTATTGTCAAGACATCTGGCACTATTGCACCAAGCTTTATTATTCATCTTATCAAGGTGTGTTTTATTAGACCCATACCACTATTCAGGCCTTTGAGTCCATTCGTCTGGACTTGCTTGAGGTTGTAATGTTTTTTTAAATACATTTGATTATTTCATAGAGGCCACATATCTTTTTTAACTATCACTTATTCCTTCTTTTTTTTTAATCCAAGATGCTACATGTCAAGTGCAAATCTAATTTGTATCTAGTACATTGTACCTTTATAGTCAGACTTAAATTGACATCATATGATAAATGAGAGAGAATGTATTGTGGTTAATATTATTTTATCACATCAAACCGGTTGCTCTTTATCTCCTTTTTCCTTTTTCTTCTTATCAGGGAAAAGCTTATCATGTTCAATTATAAGTGATAAGCTCAATACTATGTGAATCTACTTGCAGTAATACTGATAGTAAGTAACGTAATTTATGTGAACTGAATGCTTTTCTGAAATAAAGATATGTATTTCTTAATGTATGTTTGTCTCCAGGACCCCCAGTACATGCAGCAGGCTCTGACCAACGCCCTGCTGATGGACGCCGTGGTGGGCAGCCTTCAGAGCAGTAAGGCCATCTACGCTGCTTCCAAGCTGGCTCACTTCGACCGCATCAAGACGGAAGGTGGGGGTGATTATTGATTTAATTCCTGTCCCGTTTGCCTTTCTTTAACAACCCTTTTTGTCAACATGAAAGGCATTATACATTCAGTTTGCTTTGATTTACTCTGGTTGCTTATCGGAAACCACATTTGGTCAATGTTTGCTGTGGTTCATGATTTGGTTTTGGTTGCAATTTGCATACCGAAACTGTTCAAACTGGTTTGTGATTAATTAATGTGTTGCTTGGTACGTAATGACTCATCAGTTTCATTGCTGTGTGTTTCCTTTAAAGAATGTTTGTGCCTTTACCACCTGTGAACGGTTTGTTACCTCTCTTTAACAATGGTTTGTGTTTTTTTTAGTGCCGATGATGGTTCCCAAGACAACGGCAGAGACGCTGAAACATAAGATTAACCCCTCGCTGGAGCTCGCTGCACCTCAGGCTGTAGATGTACTTCTATACACACCAGGTACAAACTGTAACAATGAGACCAATCCCGCCATTATTCTTATACGTCCTATCACAGCGATGACTGTTGTCAGGTTTCTCTCTGGGGAGCTCCATCATCCAGAGTTTTCACTTAGACAACAACAGACGTTCTGACATATACACACAGACTGCAATCACACACACATGACCTTTGCTTTGCCAATCGCCTCTCTCTCTCGCTCGCTCGCTCTCTCTCTCTCTCTCTCTCTCTCACTCTCACTCACACACTCACTCACTCACTCTGTTTCACTCCAACAAAGAAACACCGACAGTCATAAAGCTGCACACAAAGTTTCTTAACCACACTTCCTCCTCAGGACTTCTTTACAGGAAAATAAAAGAGGAAGTCAGCCAGAAATGTGTCTTTTAAAAGGAGAGAAGCTGCTTTTAGAACATGTCAACATCAGATTGTATGCTGTTCCTGTATGGGCAAAACAGTTTTTAATACATGATAACTTTTGTCCGTTAGCTCGAGACGTTCTTGACTTTGCTTAGCAAGAAGAAGCTCACCTAGACTGTATTCATGAGAGCAACAGTGGGTATATGAGATGTTGAGTTCAATTTCATTGTATTGTTTCCGTGAATGAGAACCAATGGACTGATCTTCTGATTGTCACTCACTGCCCATGTATTCACAAATTACATGACACACACACACACTTGCTGAAATCAAAGCATTCTTGACTTCCTTCGCTTCTACAGGACTCACTTTTAAGAGGAGTGTTTGTTACTCGTCTCTTTCAAGTTGTGCGGTTTGATTACCTTGTTTCTGTAATCATGTCTTAAAGAGTACTCTTTTCATGTTAGCCTTTTAGAATTGTAGTTTAATTTTAAGTAATTAAAAAAATGCATGTTTTAGACTTAGAGCAACATTTAGCCTGCATTTTGTAAGGATCTAATTAACAGTAAAATAATCCCTACGTGCAAAAGAAGTGTTCAAAAAGTGGAGTTGATTCAGGGACCTAAATGGCTTACGGTTCTTATTGTTACTGATATTAAATATATAGACCAGTGGTAAATAAAGGCAAAACCTGAATAAATCAATGTAGAAACACCCAACTAAGAGACAAATGGCCAGATTTAAATGCATTTGAACACCTATGGAAGATTTTGTAATGATTATTTGTCAGATATTGCTCTCCATGACATAGTTTGACAAAAAATGTATTTATCTCTGCAGTAAAGTTAAAAAAAAAACTAGACGCTGACAGGAAAGCATTGAAGCTGTTCTGGCAGCTTCTTCTACTGTAGCTTACAATTTCACTTTGTTTTTTTCTTTTTAAATCTGTCACCCATTAGGACATCCAAGCCATCAAGCTTCACCTTAAAGCAAAGGAATGGTTCCCTGTTGTTTACCCTTTGCATACAGTCCTTTGACTTTATTATGCTGAAGCAGACAGGATGGCGCATTACGTGGCAGGAAAACAGCTAAATAAGAACTACAAAGCCCATGCCTTCAGTGGAGCGACCATCTGGGGCCACTTATCTGCCGGCTGGTGGCAGACTGACCCCCAGCGCTACCACACTCGTGCACACTCATACTCAGCAATGTTCACATATACAGACTCTGTTCAGTTCTCCTAATGCAGTCAGCTCTCTGATTTCTGTTGGTAAAGGAGAACACATCTGGCTATTCAGATCCTCCCTCTCTGCCTCTCTCAGCCTCTCTGGTTTGAATATAGGTCACTGAATTGAATTCCTGGAATATTGCCAGTTCACTCCCACTTCTCTTCTCCCACCCTCCCTCTTTTTCACTCTCCTTCCCCTCTATGTCCCACTGTCCCTATGTGTCACTCTTTCTATGAAATGCAGGGTGTAACCTTTCTTTTCCTTCCACCAGTGGTGCTTTTTTAAATAGTGCTGAATCCGTTGGGAGAAATTGGACCGTTAGGTGAAGGAGTCAGGCAGCAGAAAAATAGTTTTGTACATGAAGTATTTCCATTCAAACTGTTGGCTGATGTTCACAGCTCCTTCTTGGCCTTCTGATTGAGTAAATACTCTGCAGCTGTAAGTCACAAGTGTGAGATAAGGTATTAAGAAATAACTGCATGTGTTTCAGGTCAGTTATGGGTGTCTGTGAGCGTGGGAAAGGTGATGGTGTTTGATGCCTCCAGCTGGTCCCTCACACATACCTGCCACGTTGGGAATGCAAGACTGGTAAAAACACAAAACACACACACACTGACATGACATTTTGCCCAGGAATTATGGCAATATTTTTTAGACTGTCTTAGATTAAGACAAGGTTTTTGTACCTGAAACAATGATCTTTGGCATTGTTCAAGTGGAAAACATTAATACAGATTTTATTTATAAGTTAAGCTAATTCTTGATGTTGTGAACTTGTCTTTTCGCTAGCTCTCCTATCACTAAGTGTCAGCACTTGGTGAAACTTTTGACTTCGAATCTCAGGACGGAATCAGCAGAACATGCGTGCCACTGGCTGTTTTGACTCCTGCATGCTTTACTTCAAACAGCTTCGGTATTATCTTCAGGCAAGCAAAGGTTCAGGGAGTGTGTTTTGAATAGTTTTCATTCCCCCCAAGCCCACAACATCTTCAGTGCAAACTGCGACTTTCAAAACAAAACGCAAACAAGTAAATGTTTGCTGGAGGTCCTTAAAGCTCTTACAGTAGGTGAATGTTCGTGGTAAATTAAGTTAAGGATGAGTGTAAAGTTTTAAGGCTCTGTCCTAATCACTGACCTCAAGCATGCAGGTCACAGTCACATGAAATACGTTAGCCTATGTTAACCAGTGTGCGTGTGTGTTTGTTTGTGTTTGTCTTTATGTTCGCTGGCAACACAAATATCTGCTCACAGTTACTTAAATTCAAAATTTGATCCATAGCTAAATTTGTAGAAACAGACAATTATGCAAGATGTACAGTAATAGTATTGGCAGTGTGCTCAGTGTTGTTTGTTAGACAATGCTACCACCTAGTGGAGGAATTAGGTATTGCACAATGCATTTCTTTGCCTAACCCAAGTCCAAAATAATGCCTATTGCAATGTATATCTTAATTTACTTACTGTTCTAGATACCTGCTACACTTACCTGTTAGGAAAAGCCAACTTTCCTTACATAAGGCAACTTTTAGTCACCTATCGTTTCCATATTTAGTCTTAAAACCTCTAATTCTGTTGACACCAAGTTATTTATATCTCTGTAGCTGTGTTACTCCAGATAACTGACATGTCTATCTGTCTCATTTTTTTCAGAACTGCATGCTGGGAGTGGATAAGGACCAGGTCTGGGTGGGTTCTGAGGACTCTGTTATCTACATCATCAGCATGGTGGCCATGGTCTGTAACAGACAGCTGACTGATCACAGGTCGGAGGTCACTGGACTGGCGCTCGACAGGGACAAACAAAGGTAACACACACAGACACCCATACTGACAGTGTTTGGAATATTGTGTCGGACTTGAAAAAAAATGGTGGTGAATGAAATTCTATTTAACTGAGATTAAGAGAGACACTGCTTCAGTCCCTGCAACACATGCATTAATCAATTTAGCTTCGAAATGACATAAAGTGTTGTAATGTTCTTCAGCCAGAAGGTGGCGTACTCCTGCAGCGCAGAGGGAAGCGTCATGGTGTGGGACGTCTCAACACTACAGGTCTGTTTTAAACCAGCACTTGGTTATGTTGTTCAATTTACAAATCCTTAATAAAACGGCATGCTTTTTACTTTAACAAAAGGTTAGAATGATATAAAAGAATCCTAAATTGACACTTTAGAAGGTATTTTAAGGATTACATTTTTCCTTTAACCCTGTCAGATGAACACAATGGTCAGAGCAACTTCTGTGGTCTTCTCCTTCCTTCTACCACTTATTTTCCTGTTTCAATCACATATTTTTCAATTCATACTAGTGATATTTGTCTCACCAACCCCTCAGGTTAAGAGGCATTTTCGCCTCTCCTGCGACCGCCTGCTGTCCGTCTACAGCTGTAATGGGACGCTGTGGTGCTGTAAGTTTCACACTCTTTAGCTTGAGCATTGTTACCGGATAACTGTTTTGTGATCATTTTGTGGATTTATTACACATTGGTTTCATAACATGTACGTTATTCTCAAACCAGCATTTACGACCCACACAGTGAGTACAAAAATGACACATTAAAACCCACACTCAAAAAGAAAGACGGAAGAATGGCATTTGTAAGCCCAGCTAATATCACTCACTCTCTGATCAGTGCCAAGGCCAGTTTTGACAGGTCATTTAAAACAAGTAACTGCAACTGAGGCACCCCAATCTCAAACATATCAAAGAAGTTTGAGGCAACCTATTCCCAGAATCTGACAACTACAGAAAATTCCCAAAACATATGAAAATAAGAGCCAGCAATCATTCAACATGTACACTTCGATGTATGAAACTTGAGAGTTTATTACATTACATTTAATTTAGCTGACGCTTTTATCCAAAGCGACTTACAGGGACATTCTCCCTGGAGTAACTAAGGACTAAGTGCCTTACTCAAGGGCACACTAGTGGTGGTGTTCCTGGCGGGATTAGAACTCACAACCTTCCGATCTTCAGCCCACCTCACTATCCATTAGACCACTACTGTCCCCTTATGATGGGAAATTGAACCATCTCGCTCTTCATTACTGTCCATCTTTCTCTTCAGGCTCCAGGGACAATATAATGGAGGTGTGGAGGAACGGCTCATTAAAACATCGTCTGAATCTACCAGAGCAGCAAAAAGGATCCACAGCTACATTTAGCTCTATACTGCTGTTACCTGAGGTACCACGCACGCACGCACGCACGCATAGTTCTCTATACACAGAGTTTTCTCTGAATTTCTTTTTTTAAATATTTTTTGAGTGAGACCTTTTTTCCTCATTTTGTGTGTGTGTATATTAGAAGGAGGAGCTGTGGAGTGTGTGTATGGACTCAGGGGAAGTGTGTATTTGGCACATTAAGGACACCACCAAACCGTATCACCGTGTGGCTCTACAGGACTGCACCGGATGTTACTGCATTATCAAAGTTAAAAACCAGGTCAATATTCAATACTGCACACACAAAAAAATGTTTGAAATCACCATGAATGCATTAAAGTCTTGGCAGTGGCATGAAATACAACCACATTATCTGCTCAATTTTCTCTCCAGGTGTGGATCGGTGGTGTTGGCCGCAGCTCAACCAAAGGGAAGATTTACATCCTGGAAACGGAACGTCACCAGGTCATGAAAGAGCTTCACGGCCACAACGACAAGGTGACAGCGCTCTGCTCTGCGGAGGATCGATACGTCCTCAGTGGAGCCGGCAAAATCGACGGAAAGATCGCCATCTGGAAGGTGGAGTAAAGCAGTCTGGAAATGGACTCATATTCTACTTGGAGCTTGAGATCGTTAAGGAAAACTTCACCCACAAAATAAGGGTTTTTATATCAATCACTCACCCTGTTTTACCTCGAATCTTTGAAGAAAAGTGAAACATTCTTCACATGTTTTCACTGCTTTCCAAACATTTTCAGTGAAACTTCCACATTAACAGCACTCCCATGGACGGATAGCATGTTTGCAAAGGTGTGATATCGTTTATTCGTTTTTTTTCTCTCCACAAATTCAAGGTAAAATGGGGTAAATATTTGATAAACAAATCATCACTTTGGGTATGAAGTATTCCTTGAATGCCATCGCTCTGATAAAACTACACTCGAACTTCCTGCGAACAAAGATTTTGAATTTGCAAGGAAAGGAATGAAGATTTGGAAAGACGATCCAATTCCCAGCCTCGCCTTGCCTTTTGCATCTCGGAGATATGAAGGAATCACATGGCATGTCATGTGAAGCAACATGTTTACATAAAGACTCACCAGCTGAGCAGCTTCTCCCGCCTGCTATGAAGTGGTGATATGCAGTTTGAAATACTAACCGTACTAACACTTAATTATTTCGGGAACATGAAGGACAAATGAAGAATGAAAAATGAAAAATGTGATATTTTTTTGAATTCAGAATGCTTCACTTTACTCAAGGCATTTATTATATTTTCATACCATGCATTATTTAATGTTGTACATTGGTTTAAGGGAGTTTAATCACACTAGTATTATGTGGGAACATTGTGTGACTGAGCCTCACCTCCCTCTGTGTTTCTGAGGTGTGCTTCTACAGTTCAAAGGAGTCAAACTACCCTGAAAACAACACTTTGAGATCTCCCTATCACGTGGGAAAGAAAATGTTTATTTTTATGGATGTTATGCTTTAACGGACAATGTACAGCAGAGAGTGATGGGAAACACGATGAAAGATGAACCAAACTTGGGAGCTGGACTCAAACTCTGACATGTGATACAGCACCGTGCGTTTAAGAGACGCACCAGAGAAACTTGTTTAGTCCTGCAACAACTGGAATCTGATAAAAACACACAGAATGAGGAACAACTCCACAGTATTTTGCCCTCGTTGTAACACTTACCTCATTGTTAGACTAGGTTTCACATTCTTCTCTATTTATTTTCCTACAAGATTAGTTTTACCTGCATCACGTTGGTCCTAATGAGTAAAGGAAATGTTTTTTTATATACAGATTGACAGAAGATACAAAGGTCAATTCAAAATTCCCGGCTTTAAAAAATATGCTATTATTAATAATAATAATAGTTTTAATCATTTTAAGTGAAAAGTCCGGGGTACAAATGTCTACTCAAATGTTAAAATGTATATTTGTAGAAATGTATTCTCTGTGCATTTTTCATGGTTTCCTAAGTAGTAATAATTACACTCGTTTTCTGTGTAGTAAAACTAAGTGAAACAGAACAGACTGAAGTTTTCTTATTTGTACTATTTCTATCCATCTAGCCTTTTTTTCTCCTTATATTTTGGGACTCTTAAACATCAGTGTAAGGAAGTTGGCACACATCTGTGTTTTTTCCTGTTCATCAACTTTTTTTTACATGTATGATAATCTTCAGTAAGTATCACCTGAAGTTCATTTAAAGGGTTTAACTTTTACATTACATTGCATTTAGCTGACGCTTTTATCCAAAGCGACTTACAATAAGTGCATTCGACCAAGAAGATACAAACTTGAAGAAAACAGAATCATATATGTACATCAGGTTTCAAGAGCCAAAACATTTCAAGTGCTACTCAACTGGCTTTAGATAAGCCAGTCCTTTATTAGTATATAAGTGCTTTGTTAGTAATTTTATTGCTCGAAGTGGAGTCGAAATTGATTAGTTTTTAGTCTGCGCCGGAAGATGTGTAAGCTTTCTGCTGTCCTGATGTCAATGGGGAGCTCATTCCACCATTTTGGAGCCAGGATAGCAAACCGACGTGTGTTTACTTCTCTTAATGTATTCATACACTACTGTATATAACTGGCAATGTCAATATAAGACTAAACAATGTGACATTGCAAACTCAACCATTGATGTATGAATATTGTCTTACCTGACTTTTTACAAGACTTCATATGAAACTGTATACAACTGTTAACAAGATGTTCTTATATTCAATCCACAGTGAACAAAGTTAAATACACATTTTATAAAATCAGTGTTCAGTTTGTCTTTATTACAACCAGAGGAAGTCTCGCTTTTGGGGTTTTACTAAGTAGGGAGTTACTTAAAGACTTTTGCTCTGGAAAAGTCTACCATGTTGAAATGTTTTTCTATAAAACTGGGGGAACAAACACTAGAAAAGGTATAATGTAACATATGGTCACGGCTTATCATGAGAACTTGGGTACCACCCAACCTATGCCGATATTTACAATCCAACAAAGTAATCTCAACATTTTCTGAAAAGCTGTTCATATTGTTCCCATCACAGTGCACAATTCTCCAGTTTAATTGTTTTGTGTTAAACTGAACCCCATCCCCATTTCCTGCACTTTCCAGAGTCAACCAGAAGATGGTGCTGTTAGATGACAAGTTAAGGTTGGAGCAAGATTTCCCTACAGGAGGTCATCGAAGTTCACTTTCAAAGACTTTAACCCAGATTATCAATATAACAGAAGTAGTTTTTTTTATTTAATTTTAATTTCTGGGGCAGTGGTGGCACATGCCATAATGACATGTCTTGGGAATTTGAGGGTTGATCGTTTAACATCACAACTTGTGGCTGGAATTGCAGATTAAAAAAACTACAGGAGAGATAAATACCTTTTTCAAATTATGCTTCCCCATTTTGTGTTTTTATGAAGTTATGGAGAGCACAATATGACATATTTTCATTTCAGAATCTCCCTTTGGTGGTTTAAATGCATTTAAATCTGAGAATTTGTGTTTTAGTTGGGTGTTTGTACATTGATGGCAGTAGCTAGTTGCAGGTCTCCCTTGTAAAAGAGATCGTTGATCTCAATGGGATTTTTTAAACCTGGATAAATAAAGGCTACAAACAAACAAACAAGCTACCCAGCTGTGTGTGACAGGTTTTTGGCAGTGTGGATCTGAGATGCCAACACGTCTCTGGGAACAGCATTGTCCCTGAGTAATAACCGCACCTGTTCTGACACACCAGTATCACCAGACTGATTGTTACTTTGTTGGGCTGTATTCCAATGTAATAAACAACATGTGTTAATCATGCACTCTTTTAAGGGGACTGTGAATGTTTAGAGAAATATGTGAAGATTGTGCCTTATTATGTAATAAAAGAGGTCAAGGAGATATTTTGTAATGTATTCACATTTCATTGACATATGACAGAGAAGAGCAGAAAATCAAACAAGATATTGATACTTTTTGTTCGAAAAATGACAAACAATTCAATTACCCGTTAAATGTTGGTTAGTGGCTTATTTCAGACTCATGCTTCCTGTTGTGCTTCACCACGGCAGAGTGATAGGAAGAGCAAACATAATGCTAGAACAGACTGCTCAGCTGTCACTGGGCAAAACACTGAATCCTTACAGGGCTGTTACTCTGTAAATGACCTCTGTTCCCCCTTTTAAGAACGGTCAAGGTGTTTTAAAATCCAAACTAAAACTTCCTTCCAGGCCCTCAAATACTATGAGTGTGCATGTGCATTTTTATTCATGTAAATCTTTATGTTGATGTGTATGCTGAACATTGTTGTGTTACATAAAGCCATAAGCAGCTGTTAATCTCTCAATATGCAGGTCCAGTCATGCCTCGGCTGCTATCGAAGATAAGTTGCAGCTACCAATCTGTTTTGGTAGCACTTTCTCTTCAGTTCATTTTCACTGTAGTGCAGGTCTCTCTACTTCTCCCCCCCGGGGCTCCCTAGAGAGGGTTAATCCGGCCAAGACTTGTTTTTATCTAATGAAGTGATTAATTCAAAGGCTTAAATAAACAAAGCTATACAAATAATCTATAATTGGGATTTACTGTATGCATGAGACTTTGTTGATTTTATCTGAAAAAATAGACATGGATATGTTGCAGTACACTGAAGTGTTTTATTTACATAAATAGCCATTATTCAGTAAAATCAAGACTTCATTAAACCTCAATATTTATGTTGGGTTCTGTTTAGCCCTGGGTCACCTTTAACAACATTTTCTCTGCAACATTACCCCTACCAAATATACTAAATAACTCAATTTGAACTTCTATTCTTCTAGATTCTAAAGCGAGGGTTGCCATTTCTATACATTTGTGTTTTCAAAAAGATCTCTGAACAGGACAAAAACTGAAGGTGTTATTATTTTTGCATATGCAGCATGTAGGGACTGTCAGACCCCACATATGTGAGGTAGTACATACCAACAAAACAAAAAGTAAAAGAAAGAAAATGGTCTGGCTTAATTCTCCATTCACCATTCTCGTTATCTTGCGCCTGTGTTGTTTGTTAGTGTCTTTGAATATCTATCCGTCTGAAATGTAATACTATCTATCTTAAAAATAAACATTAAATGACTCTAACTTTTATTTTTAATCTATTTTTTACACTTTATATGTTTTGCTATTGTACCTTTCATATTGCGTTTGTAATGTGTGAACAATCTCTGACAAAAGAATTTCCTTTAGGTAAGGTTTATTTTATCCATTTATTTATTTGATTTAACCAGTAAAATAATAATTAGGGATATAGCAGATTTGATCTAAGTAGCTCACAATGGAAATACTAAAACAATTAACGTAGGCTACTTAAAAACTGTAGATAAACGTATTTGTAGTCTTTCTGTGACTGAATATTTTTGATGGTATTGTATTCACCTTTAACATCTCAGGCTCTCCGCTCCACCGCTGCAGCCTCGCCCCTTTTATGCAAATTAGCCGTGTCGTCGACGGAAGCCATCGCTACGTCTCTCCTTCCGACAGATATTCCTTTAAAGGCGTATTTAAAGCTCTGGCGTCAGTTGCAGGAGAGTAGCGGGCAACCTATGCAACAAAAGCTGCCGCAGAGCCGAGCGACAGCCCGACGCTCAGCGGACATTAACACGGAGCCACCGGCTGACACTACCCGGAGAGGTGAGCTCGCTGTCCGGTCAGAACAGGCGCGAGGGGACGGGTAATACACATTTTGTAGCCGAGGTTGGTAAAATCAGGCAGGCGGAATACACAGCATCTCAGGTTGCTGCTGCTGCAGAGAGCAGGAGGAGGAGGAGGAGGAGGAGGCATTACAGTAGTGAGGCCTGTGTTAAAAACAAAAAGAGAGCTGGAGGTTCAGAGAGGCAGGCACAGGTCAGGTCGCATAATTAGGTTGCTTGGATTATAAAGTGTTTATAATTGGCATTTCTAAATGGTGTTTGCAGGTTGAAAAAACAGAAGGCTCAGGGGTTGCAGTTTGGACAGTAGATTAAGGTTCATTTAATTCACTGCATCTTTTGAAATTAACCAGGAAGGAGCACACCTTTGACTGTGTGTGATGAAAACAAAAGAGATACCGGTTTGTTTGGGTTCTGGGCTTGTCATTTAACAATAAAGACCATATGAAAAGTTCCTGTATTGTTAATCAACTAATCATTGGTGTTCTTATTGTCAGTGGCTGTTGGTGCATTTATATGTCAACAGCTTTGGGTGTTTTATTTATGAAGCAAATTAGGGCTGTAATGATTAGTTGAGAAAATAAGACTGAACAAATCTACTAATCATTAAAGTAGATTCTTAATCAAGAGTACTAAAACATTTTCTGATTCTAGCTTCTATATTGTCAAATTTGCTGCTTTTCTTATTTTGTTTTGTGATTGCAAATGGAATCACTTTTGTGTTGTAGGAAGTTTCAGGGAACACATGTCACCTTTTATTGTAAGCAAGAGGTTAATTGGTGTATACATAAAATAACGATAATGTAATAAACCGCTGTTGCAGTGATTTCAGTGGCAGTGTTAGATCCACAACAGAGTTCTTCTGCCTTTTTGCTCTAAGATAACATTTAAAAGCCATGTTTATTTTCCTAAGGGGAGATGCACATCCATTTGATACTATCAGATATGTTTATAGGGTTTTACCTACATTTTTGTGATCCAGAGTACAATTACATTTAAATATATCTGTCTTAGACAGCTGCAGCTCCTTCACATTTCTCGTAGGCAGAGCAATGATCGGGACAGTTTTCCTTGAGCTGTTTTGTGGGGATTCTGGTTTATTGACAGCTACTGATTTATTGTTATGCTTGTGTGCACGAGAGAGTGTATTTGCTGTATTGATCTTATGTACAGTAGAACCTGACTTACTGTGTTTTAGTGTGGATTTGCTGGGTCTTAACTCTTTGTGTTTGTGTGTTAAGGTACGACAGCAAGGATTACAATTGCAGCCTGGACCAAAACGTCTCTCACCGACATTAATGAAGCTTTTAAGGCCTTTTGGTGAGTCTTGCATGCACCCCTTTCTTTATTTCACTCCAAA